CCATTTTAAGACCTCTAGATACGCCACTGGGCAAGCATCTTCATTACTAGCTATTCAACTCCACTCTAGTTTTATTCTCATCATCCGATGATGTAACAATTTGAATTACGGTACTTTGCTCATTAAATACCTTTAATATTTGTTTTATCCCAATGACGAATGTGATTGATTTGAAAAATATGGATTTTTAAAATATTTACCTTGAAATTACAATTTGAAAACATTATTTACATGGTGCCCATTATTACTATCATTGTCATTTTATAATTCACGTATACGTATTTTTACTTGAAACATTGTAATGGAATATGAAACATGAATTGCAAAACATTGGCGTCCTGCTGGCAATTCGGGGCCAAACAAGTTTCAAAAATTATTATAAATTAAGTTTTTAATAATTTTTTTGTAACGTTTTATCTAGCAATAAATTAGTATGAGGCCTAAAGATTTCACAAAATGACTCGGACCGCGACCAAGGGATTAAATGACGATCACCCTACACTTTTAATTGTACTGTAATTTCATTTGATAAAATTATAGTTACGGAAGCGTCTTTGGTGTAGCCATAGTAGTTCAAGTCGCCAGACTGCTCTTCGTGGTACAATTGGATCCAGTTGTGAAATCCGGAGACGGAGGTGCTTTTCTGTTCGCCGACGAAGACATGTTCGAATCCAGAGGAATCGGAAGAAGACGATCTACCATACGCTTTAAACCACATCTCTTCCATCTTATACTGGAAATCCTCTAAACTTAAAACGTAGCCTAATAAAGAAGACAAAGAACAGCATTGAATGTTTCTAGTACATTCTATAACACTCTGTGTGATTTTAGTTAGCTTAGCCTTACAAAATGTTATACATTTCTATATACTATAAAGTTCTCTATATACATTTTTATTAACTATTCATATCCTCTTTGTTGACTGTGCTTATGAACTTCTGCATATAATGATATTAAAGTAACTTGTGTTTCATTATTACCATCAGTTGTTAACTGCATTATTCGATTATTTTTCTCTAATTAATTGTGTGTGACATAACTCTAACCATCAGTGTACAAGAAAACGTCCAGGGGCGGTGCGGATCCAGTAGGGACACGAGGGACACGTGCCCCCCCCCCCGTTTTGCCACTAAATTTTAAAATTTCAAGGCATAGGCCTATATTGAAATTAGCATTCTCACTTATCTATTCTGAATATGCTGTGCCCCCCCCCCCCTTGGATCCACCCCTGATGTCTCACAATATTCGTATTAATTAATAAATTTGTATATATTGATAATTTAGCAATGTTATTAACCATTACCTTTGGAGTACAGGAAATTATAAGTTTCTGTCATGACGGATGTTTTCATAATAGCGCTCATGAAAGCATCTTTCTCTTTAGTCTCAGTCGATGTGAAGACTTCATTACGTCCAGTACTTGCGATAAAATTGTCAAGCAGGGAAATAAACTTAGCATAGGTATCCTTTTTCAATAGAGCACCGTCTACGTACGACAAGAGTCTAAAAAACAATAACTATAAGAAATGAACAAAGTAGTACGCGCTTTCAAAATATTTTGAGCGACTCCCGACCACGCCCACTTTGCTCTCGTCGGTGACATCGGCCCCCCACCCCCCACACTTCCTCTCCCGTCGTCGGTTACATCGGATCCCCCGTCGGGCAAACCCTTACGCCACCCCTGTACAGGTATACAGTCTTGGTTTTGGTACTTAATTTGGACAATTAAAAACTGTTCAATGTCGATGTGTCTCGTTATGAAGTTTTGAACTTTTAAATGAGCAATAATATTATATTTCAATTTTTATCATAGTGGTTTTTTTTTATTAAAGAAATTTAGTCCTGACATCGCAGCATACTTTAAGCATTTCATTCCCATCCAACAGCAAGTAACTCGCCAATTACGGAATGGGGACGATGCTTTTTAAACCAAGTTTCATTAAGAAGCTTAGGGAGGGAAGTTGTTTTAGTCGTGAGAAAAAGTACTGCTGTCACAGGAATTGAACACAGCACCCTGGGATTAGAAGGCAAGCATCTTATCCACTAAGCCATTAACTCAACTCCATGTAGCCTGCACAAACTTAGAAAGACAATACACTGTGACTTACGGTGAGCTAGACTTGTCAACAGTGTTTGAAGAGCTGCTAAGCTTTGTCTGCTTATTGACGGTAAATTGAGAAGACGACGCACGGTTTCCATCAACCGACCACAGTGTGTTAGCAAGTGTCGTCAAATCCGCAGATGTCACTGGTACGGGACCAGATCCTATCAATAACAACAACATCAATAATTATGATTATTGTTATTTAAAAAAAAACAAACAATACTACAAAGGCCAAGCTAAACATTGACTACAGTTGGCATATTATATAGTCTCTCAATCTATATGGACATGACACCTAATACTAAATTATGTTAATGATGATGATATAGAGTGGAGTTGAACAAGGCAATTAACTCTACTTCCCAGGGTGCTGGGTTCAATTCCCGTGACAGCACGGATCCCTGCTCTAACAAATAAATCCAACTCTACTCAATAAGCCTCATAAGTATTGGTGTTTGCCCTACCTTACCTGTTTTCTTACTGAATAATCGCGAAATAATAATTCCGTGGGAATCGAATCCACGACCTCCAGATAACTAGCCTGGTGTCATAACCTAGACTATAGAGCTTGCGTTTAGTGACTGGTGTTGGATCTTATCTTCAAGTAGCATCGGGTAATGCAATGCTATTTCGATGCGTGTTTACGTCAGGAAAATATCATAGGAATGTTTTGATCTACCCGATGTTTTTTTGTACTGAATACTTGAGAAAAAAATCGCAAGCATAATAATATTCTGTAAAATATGTTATATTCTGGTTTACAAAACGCTATTTTGAGAATTATTCACCTCCTGTACATAGTGTATGGTAATCAGAACAACAGTCGCCATATTTTTCACAAGCACTGTTACATTGGCAGTCCTTGCTGCTGTCCAGATTAGTGTCACACCTCCCAGAGCATGAACCTAGATACAACAATTGTGTTAGAGCACACACATGTTAATTAGGGTGTTCTATAATGTGTATTTTTTTTGTGGGAATTTTACCCACTTTTATTCCATTTCCACACTTCCCTTTTATAAGTACATCTGCCGTATCTAATATACCTATTACAATAGAGCCGTCAAGCATAGCTGACCGTTTTTAATGTGTATTTACTATATTGCGTACTCCCCTTCAAAAAAAAAAAAGAAAAACTATGTTGAAATACAGGTTAAACACCATTTTCAGTGGGTCCTTCTGGTGGTGCTTGGGAAGTATACTCTTTTCCGATGAATGTACTGCGTATTGGCCATAAAGCTCGGTTTCCATAGAATCGCTCATCCTATCGGCGACAGTCGTCGACAGTAGTCGGGAAGTTTGAACCTGGTTCAACTTTGCCGATGGACGAATCGGGATGCCTTCCCACTTGATTCGTCTGCAACGTAATCGGCAAAGTTTAACCAAGTTCAACCTTCCCGACAACTGTCTGCGACTGTCACCGAGAGGGTAAGAGCTTTACGCACACGGGACCAACGGCTGAAACGTCTCATCCGAAAGACAATGCGCTATAGTAACTTCCATCATTTCAGCCCTCCAGTTAAAACAGGAAAGAAACGATGGGAATTGAACCACGCACACACAGGGTCGGTGGCTACCAGCAGTTTAACCTACTGAGCAACGCTACCCTCAAACATTTTAAACGTTTTGAAAATCCGAACATTTCTTCTTTATTGACGTGACATTTTGGTAACACACATAAATGAATATATCACAATAGGGAGTATAAGCTTTTATAGTATAAATTGGTTTTACCAATCACATTTGTTACAATTTAAAAATTTCTAAATTAAGTGATAGTACCCAATGTTCTTATCTAATGTAATTTCTTTATTCAATTTATAAAAAATTGTTATGTTATAATTTCCATAACATTTTATACATTTATAGCATACCCAAACACTCTAACTGATAGTCAGAACAGCAATCCCCATAAGTAGCACATTGAGTGTTACACTGACAGTCGTATGAGTTGCTGAACCCAGAATCACATCTTCCCGAACATGAGTCCGCACCTATGATAAATGTAGGATTAATCACTATTTCAATCAGTTTCAATCATAAAATAAAATTGAATGAGTATAGTATACAAATAGTGGACCTGGGACAACATACAAGGGAATGTAAAAAGAAAAGAAAGCAGTCAACTGACTATTACTAACACTTCGTCTATTTTTCCCCACATTTTTGTATTGTACAATGAGAAAGGTGCGTATCCACTATCCACTATTTAGAGTTATTTCATACATTCTTAAAGAGTGATTATTGTTTAAATGAATAATGAAATGTCTTTTTTTTTTGCTGGTAAGTAGTCGCAAACTATTTGATTCGAACTGCTTTTCAATCCTAGACTCTGAAGATTCCGCCGCAGACTTACTGGAGCTAGGAATTGATTCCTCAAACGTTCAATATATTCTTTATTTCACTCATCATAATACATAATACATAATATAATATGGAGTGGCGAGACCTCAAGAAGTGAAATGCTTGATGCAAATGAGGCCCTCAAGAAAATAAAAATAAATACAAACTCTCAACTAGTGACAGTTAATCAGATTGCAGGTATTGTTTGAGAAGGCGTTTCACCATATTGAGGTTTGTTGAATCTTTAATTATGTTGGGGAGAGAGTTCCATAAAATGGGGCCAGAGTAGAAAATTGTGGATTTTCTAAGTTCAGTACGGGTAAGTGGAGGATGGAAATGAGAGGACTGTCTTGTAGCGTACCTGTGTATTTGGTTATTTTTAGAGAAATTTATTGCAATTATATTAGGAATTGAGTTGGAAAGATTAAGATGCATAAATATGGCAAAGAAAAACTTATATAAACTAAATATATCTAAGATACCAAGACGTACAAAGAAATCAGCAGTGTAAGTATATAATTCAACACCTAGGAAACTTCGGATAGCCCGTTTTTGTAATTGAGTATAGTTACAATTTCCCCATGCAAGAATCCCGTAGATTAAGTGAGGCAGAATGAGATTATTCTAAATTATTTTTAATGTGTGCGGTGGGAAGATGTGGCTAAGTCTAAATAACATTCCGATCCAGAATTGGCAGAAATAGTTTTGCGGAGTTTGGTAGTATGAACATTCTAATTGTCTGGATTCAAACAATATATTTATATATGTAATAGTGTATAAGAAACATCAAGAAGATAGACTAAGAAAGCAATGTACTTACGTGACAGAAGAACAGCATCGTATATGCAAGCAAACAGTAGAAGAATGTTAACGTACTTCATGTCTACCGGATCAATGTCAAGGTCTTACTAGTTTATTACCTCAACAATGTTTAGTGTTGCCTTTTATTGTTTTCTGTGTTTCACGTCGGAAGTGAAATATTAACACTGTGTCAACATTACATTAGGCCTACTTCGTCCCAGAATGATAAAGGAAATGAGTCACACTCCCGGCAATTCTATCTATGTGTAGATTCAATATAGTAGACATAACACATATTAAAATTAATATAAGGAGAACAATCTTATCGATAGTAAGCAATATTATTAAAGACATCTGTTTCCACTTCAAAATACTGTCCGTCAGATAACGTTATCTTTTAAATGAACTGAAATATTTCTAATCAAGATAATGTATAGACATAGCCAACAATTGACGTCAAAAGTGAAGACGTGGTATACACATCAATTGTATTTGGTCAGGGCCGTAGTCAGGATTGTCAATGGTGAGCAGAAGGTGCTTGGGTGCGCAAAAAACACCAACCGGGGGTTGCTCAGAACACCAAAATTAAAATGTTTACGCTCGCTACATTTCGATTATCTTGAAAATATTAACCTTATTGATTCGAGGGGTGGGGGCGTACCTATTGTACCTCCTTGATACGGGCCTGTAGAGTGTTTAGTACTTTGACGAAAACAATTACAATTTTTGATAGGCCTAACTGTCTAACATTCTCTGTGATATTTGCAATTGTCGCGGTAAATGGTACGGTATAGGCCTATCCACTTATCAACTATCTTATAGGGTGCTGGCCAACAAACAGACCTTCTCGAAATCAAATTCGTATATAATATACATTTTATAATCAAATTTTGCTTGACGCACAAACGTTCAATGCTGTTATCTGAACGCACTGATACAATAAGCCAAGACAGGATTTGGACTGTACCATCGGGGAACCAAACAGCTGTGAACTGTTCATTAATTAACAGGATCTAGGCCTAACAATTACACTTTCGTAAGATTGAAATTAAGGATACATTACCGGTATTTTAAAACTCTCTTTCCCTTTCTATATGATGTTAATATAAAAATAAACAGGCAATTTAACACTTAAGTGTACCTAGTGGTTAAATCATTTTCGACATAAATATTTATCAGCTTGGCATCCTTATGGCCATTTTGAAAAATGGTCGCCAAATTTATCTAAAATGTGCATATAATTGGAACTAAATAATCTACAGATATGATTTTGGTGTCTAAAATCATAATTTCTATACAGGAAACAAACCAGACATATACACACTACTGTCACTCATGCCAGAATGGAACATAATTCAAAAATAGGTGTTTATTTGTTTTAAAATATCCGCAAAATATACTTAAAATGTGTATAAAATAAGAATAAGTATATAAACTCACCAAAAAGTAGTCGTGTTTAGTATCGTTGGAAAGCTCTTCCGATGCTGAATAATGTATTGCAGTTGATATAACAGAAACGATGTAGTGTTTTATATTGTCCAATAAATTCCAATTATGGCATATCATATTAAATAAACAGGACCCATTTGCGTAACTCGTGAGCTCTCGGATGGCGGGGGGGGGGCGCTCCTACTACTACCTAAAACATTACTACCAAGCCTTAAGTAACGCATGTGCTTTCTGGGCGAAGTCCGAGTCCAAATGGGCCCTGGAGAGGGTTAGATACTTTTACTTACAGTAACACTGATACTCAGCACTCTCCTACAACGCCTTAACAATACGTAACATTTTGTATAATTTCCGAAAAAACCAAATAGACCAAAATCCAGGGGGGTTCAAGGGGTTCGGACGAACCCCTCTCTGTAAAGAAACGTAACAAAATACTATTGGGTCCTGGCTTACAAAACGCATTACCAACCGTTTCTCGCGCATCGTGCGGGACGGTCCCGCTTCAAAGTGATTTTGGATGTAACACGCATGACGTCACGCATTTAGTCCATGCATGACGCCGAATAATCACGAATTCAGGGAAAATATATTTAAAATTAGAAGAAATTAGTTTTATTAAAATTATAAAACAATCATGCAGTAACTTGAGTCATTAGAGAGCTTTCGTTATCGTTGTTGGTGACTGTTAATAGAACTTGTCATGTTTTCCTTTCTTTGTGCAAGTGTAACTGTGTGTGAAATATGTTTCCTGAATCGTGATTTTTTTTTTCCCACAAAGTAAAAGTAGATATATTTCTTTTCTATCATATTGACCTTACTTCTTACGTTTGCTGCTCAATGAGGACCTCCACGTTTAAGTGTCCATACAACAACTCCCTGGCAGTACAAATCCTGTAGGAGTATTTTCAAGCCAAAAAATGAAGCTACAGGAATAACAAGTCTAGGATAAAGTTTTTATTTTTAATCGGCTATGCCATACTTAGCTGAACTAAGACTACCAATCTTTGGCGTTTGGTTGGAAACGAATTTAATTTTAGATATAGTTGGGGGTAACCCATTATCATCATCATCATCATCGTAATAAACGTTTATAAAATAATTATGTTTGTGTCTTCATTTGGTTATTTATTCATTTTACCACATAATGCATTGTATTTAAAACTCTGTTTCTCAAAGTGTTTATTACACACAGGGTATGTACTGTCGAATAGTAGAATAGAATAATCTCCGCGACGCTTAAGCATGCTTCCCCAATGGACGCAACGCAACGACGCAGACGCGAAGTATCGACGCTAAGTAACGCAACGCAGGGGTTTTGTGGCTTCACCGACGCTTCTCAACTTTTGCGCTGTTCGATTCAATTTTTTGCAACGCAAGCGCCGCAACGCAATGAAAAATCTAATTTGCGCATGCTCTAACCGATGGATTTGTAGTTGGTGCTTCGTGTTTACATTTTGGCGATGAGTTATCTGTTATCTTAGACCGTCACCATCGCCCTAGCCATCATGCCAATTAAATAATAATTATTATTATTGGCTGCTGTTATAAATGTTGTTGCTGCTATTATTACTTATTTTCATAGCCTATCATATCATAGCCTTGCCTGGTCTCGATAGAGCCGCGGTGACGGTGTTTTTCTACTGCATGGCATATGTCTATCTATATAATACAGTAAACATTAATATTTATATGACATCTTGCCCAACCGTTCTTCAAAAAACTATTTATATATTACACATGGGTAACGCCCAGAGGGAGGAGGACCGGTGAAGGGCCCCGTTAAATCATTAACACCAAAATATTCAGACTTCTAACAAGATTCGCTAATTAATATGGTACGTAAAATTAGCCCCATTCACTAAAAGAAAAATCACAAACAATGAATATTTGTATTTCTTTTGAAAGAACCTATCTAATCTACGATGCAACACTCTATTGTATCTAAAGAGAGATTTAATGCCATATACATGACATAACGAAAAACACAACTAAAAATGCCCTTTGCATTATCTGCCTTATATAATTTAGAGGAAAATGGTAACTATAAAACGTTTCAACTACTGATTACAAACGTACAATAATGGTTAGTCGGTGCCACCAAAATGGAAAATAACACTATTTTTCTTAATGCTTACAAAATAATATACATTTGCGTTCATAGAATGTGGTGGCAGTTTTCCATCTTATTTCTCTAATAATATAAACCATTATGTCACATTTATTTCTATATAGGCCTATGCGTTTGATAAATTCTATTAACTGTAAAATACATTAAAGAGTTAATCAACAACAATATTCAATCTATTTCGTACAATTACTAAGACTGAATCAAATATTAAAATAGTATATCCCATTAATTATTCTTATCCTCACCAACACAGTTATTTACAAATATGTTTAACATGGGTGACATTTTTTAATGCAAAGCATGTTCCATGTTGATTAAAAATACTAAATAAAAAAAACATTATTTTTACATACAAAGTAAAATATTCAATAGCTCAACTAGCCACAGTACTTCAGCGTTACATAGAAACTAACTGTTGCCGTTGATTTACAGTCCTTACACTACACCAATCTTGAAATCCATCGAAACTTAATAAAGTATTTATGCGGTTTTTCAGAGAGGAAGTTTAATTCTCTCATTTTTACGTTTTAATTGGGAGTCACACAGTGTAGCCCTACTTAATATACAATTCGGTACGGTAGCAATACAAATTTAGGGCATTCCAAAGGGCAGAAAGTTGTGGAAAAACAAAACAAAAAATAATAATAATTGAAACAATAAAAAACTTATCAAGCTTGATCGCTAGGCCTACTGTGGATCTTCTGAAAAATTATTTTCTAACGGTTCAGCACGATCTTGATACGTAATTTCCTCGCTATCTTGATTCGCAGGTTCTCGTTTCACAGTAGTCATTTTGATTGGATTGGCTTGTAGGTTGTTATAGTAACTTCTACGTTTTCGTTTTCGTCTGATGAGTAATACAATCGCCACGACTACAACTATGATTATTCCTACGGAAATTATTATAATGATAGCTATCATACCACCACCAACGTCTAAACCTTTACTGGGTGTATCCGTTTGAGTAGGTGTAGTATCAGTGTTGTCTGAAGAACAAGAAAGCAGAGAACCTCAGATATAAATAAATGAATTTATTTATTTTTTATGTATTTTATTAATTTCATTTACATTTCAACAGCAAGTACGGTAACTCACCAATTACAGGATGGACAATCTTTATAAGCCAAGTCTCTGTATACTTAGAGAGTGGAGAAAAGTCCTGCTTTCACATGATTTCACTAAGATTTAACTCCATTCCAGCATTGTTTCCATTTTACAATGCACGAGGAGGTTATTATATTTTATAACAATATGCTCTTTAACCCTTGTTTAAATAAACCTAACATTTGATTTAAAAGACAAACCAAGTTAGTATTTATTAAAAGATCGATATTAAATAACTGATCTATACAAGAGTTTAGTACATCTATGAACTATATCAACTTACCCGTTAAGGTAATGCTCTCAGGATCAACGGTGATGTCTTCATCATCGCCATCATATTCAGATAACGATATTTTCAGGACTTGTCTCAGTTCATTATCCGTTAACACAGATTGTGTCTCGAATGTTACCTGATATTCCACAATCAAACTGCCTTCAAGAAATCTCGTCACAGTATTTCCTATATATGATCCAGCTAAGACGTCATTGCTATAGACAGCGCCGTCAACCTAGACCATGACCACAAACTTTAGTGAATAAAACTATGTATATTTAATTCCTTCATTCTTATATTGAATTGTAATTCAATAATATTTTTTGAGTGTTACATTTAATGTTGCTTTTTGGTCGTTTTGACTAAGGAAGCTTTATTATTTTGAGTGTCCATTTTGATTTACCTTTGCCTAAGAAAGTTAAATGAATAGCATATAGGCCTATACATAATTTTCATTGTATACATGTATACCTTAGTCTAGTCCAAACTATGTTTTATAAATTGTTCCCACAATTTGTGATAATCTGTAAAATACACTGACGTCCCACAAATCTAATAAACTTTAAATTTTAAATAAATAACAATATCGATTTCAAAAATAGAATTCGCCTAACACCATTCTAGGTATAGGATTGGATAGGATGTAGATTTAAATATATTATTAACTTTTAAATACTGAAAAATAGAAGTACAAAGAAAAAAATCTATTTTAAAAAATGCTAGTAAATTTATGTCAACTTAAGATTTGCGGATTAACCTGTTTCTGTTCGAAGGATTTGCTGCTGTGAATTATTGAACATTTCATTATTCTTTAAATGGTGAATTAAAAGTTTCATTGAGGATGTTTAGCATGGCAATATATCGTGAACAATAATTATTTCTTGGACCGACACTTACAAATTTCTGGACTTCTTCAGCATAAGTGTAGAAAAGGTGATCGGCTCTATCGCCAAGTCTCAGATCATAGAGGGCGGTATGACCGAACAGTGACTTAATCTTCATGGAAACTTCAATACAGTGAGTTTCTACATAGAAACGATGATAGGAAGATACTAATTCATAAAAGGCAAATATACAAAAACTACTCAATTGCATAATATTTATTATTATTATTATTATTATTATTATTATTATTATTAAAAATCATTTACAAAAAAAGATGAAATCGCTGTACATTAAACCCATTTTTACAAAGATAAAAGTAAGTACAATAACAAATCCATCAATAAAAAATTAAAATACAAATTACAACATTCAATAACATTTCCAAAGATCAAAGCGCTGTACATTGAAACCCATTTTTAGAAAATAAATGTAAGTACAATAATCAATCAATAAAAATGGCATAGAGCCCATATTTACAAAGAAAAAAGTATAATAAAAAACCAATTAATAGAAATGGCAAGTACAAATTACAATACCAGTATTCAAAAACATTTCCTACAAAAAGCTAGTGAGCGATAAAAATAGCAACAATAAAACACAAGTGTGAATCAGCCAAGTATAGATAAAAACCATTATAAGAATATACTACTCTCTGTAGAAAAGGTGTGTTTTTGAAAGTTTTTAAAAAAGATTTTAATATAATGTAATTAAGTATTTATTGTATATTTAATTAAAAAGATTTTAATATAATGTGATTAAGTATTTATTGTATATTTAATTAAATAATATTTTAAATAATATTATGTAAATTATCATTTATTGTGAGTCAAGAACAACTCATAAAGCTTTAAAACGAGCCACCTCCTATAAAAAGTAAATAAAATAAACAAATAACCGGTACCGTACCATTTAGAATGTATGTAGGCCTATTACAAAACTATAGATAGAAATGACATACCTGTAAAAGTAAAATAATTTCAAACTAAATATTTTCGATATACCTTTCTGACAAAACTCTCCCGCAAACGGACAAGGACATATACACTTCTTGTTGGTACAAATACCCTCGTTCTTGCATCCAATTGTGTCACAATCTGTAAAAAAGTTGAAAAGAATATAATTAGAAATATATCTGCGCATAATATAGATAAACTTTAAAAACAAATAGCGTTACTAAGGATCAATTGATTGACTGAAAGTATTATATTATTATATTGGTTGAATGATTGATTATAGGTTGATAGGTTGATTAGTAATATTGATTAATTGATTGACTGTCTGACTGAATAATTTGTCAATAAAAATAGATGACGAATTGACTGATTGATTGATTGATTGATTGAGTGGGTAATTAGTTTTGTGATTGAACTATTGATTAATTGCTTGGTTGGCTGATTTGTTGACCCACCGACCAATTGACTGATAAATGTTTTTAATGATTTATATTTAACTTACATTTATGATATACATCCGTTTTTGTTAGTGTTTTTTCCGAAATTTCCTCCGGTCGATACGTTGTAGATGGAAACATGGATTGATTATCATTGAATTGGCGAACGTCAACCATTACATTCTTGCCAGAAACACAGGAATCAACACCCTTCGTATATGCCGTTACAACAAATGAGTATAGTCCCACAGCTAAATCTTTGCTTAATGTTATCAATCCAGACGATACATCAATCTGGAATCTTCCTTCACCAGCATGTTCGTAGAGTGCGTAGTACACTGTGTTACCATTGACTACAGTTGCTTGTACAGAAGCAGTTTCGGAAGGCTTTGATGCGTGAGCTATGTATAAATACGACGATTCAGGAGAAAATACAGGACAATCTGGAGATGCCTCAACTAGAGTAACTGATATGTTAATCATAGATGATTTTGGTGGCGATCCGGCATCTCTAGCTGCCACTAGGAAATGTGCTAGACGCTGTTTCATCTTCTTTGCATCGGATTTTAAATGAACCATACCAGAATTTGAATTTAAATGTAGTTTTTCAGTAAACTCAGTTGGTATGAGATGATAACAAAATGGTTCATTAGTTTCATAGTTTTTATCAAGAGCTTTAACTTGTGTAAAAAATGTTCCCCTCGGTGAGCTTTGTGCAATCGATATGTTCTTAGATGCTCCACTGAATCGGGGTGGTCGCTCGTTAGAGGGCGCATTATTTCGACAAGACTTTCCCTGGAAACCAACGTAGCAATGACAAATATTCGGTGCTATACATCGGCCTCTCATCGAACAACTGCTAACTTCGTCACAGGTAGACAAGTCGTTACCAGATCCGATATCATCATCCACGTGTATTTCTGGTTCATGGCACGTACCAACTGATCAGAAATAATACAAATGTTCATTTCATTACATGGGAAAGGTATACAATCACACTTTGGTCACACATAGGCAACGTAGATGGATAGAATTGGAATGTTACTTTCTTTATATTAAACTATGATGAATATTATTAGTTTTTAATCATTTTATTTATTTTTTTTTTTTCATTTAATTATTTTTGTTTTCTTATTAAGTACACTTATCTATTTCAGAAATACCATGATATTATAAAAATGTGGTTGACATTTTGTAAAAATAAATTGTTTATACCAGTAAATGTTTTGCAAACGAATGAGAGTCGCTGGTCGCAAGGTTCAGAGCTCGTCACATTGGTTACAGGATCATATGAGCTACATTCCTAAAAAAAAATAAAATGTTTCAGATTAATGTCAGAAGGTACACTATCTGTAATAATATCAGTAAAAAAAGCATGAATTTTTAAACAATATTAGATTCTGGGCCTTTCTAAAACATTACTGGTCGAATAAGCATAGGCTATGTTTTCTTTCCATTAATATTTATAAGAGATATTGGTATGATGTGTGTAGGCCTTAATTATTTGTGATATTTAACAAACATATATATTTATGAGCTAGTTCTAGTTCGAATTACCAGCGTGGATTATTTCTGTATTATAATGCCTATCCAGATAACATTGTTACGTTATAATAACTGTATACTTTGGTGTACAAAAATGGAATAACGTTTTGTGTTTGCTTGGTAGGCCTACTGTCAAGCAAATATTCATGCACGTATAATTACTTCGATTTTATGGGTGGGAGAGAAATAAAATATCTTATTAGACAGCTAAATAGGAATGCCAAATGCCTAAATATTCATTAAACTTACCGGATAAAACTCACTCTCTGTTGTATCAGATTCAAGATATACCCAGACCCGGTCCCGTGATTCCCTGTTCGTCATCGAACGTTGGATTGCGTTTACATCCACGTGTGTAACACTTGTAATAACTGCAGATAGTTTCTTTTAAAAAAACCACACAGAAGTACTTATAACAATAATAATATCTTAATGGATATTATTAGTAGGCCTATTTATAATATTATTATTTATTATTTTCTGAAATAAGAGATTTAAGAATGAATTTGTTGGTAATGTATCGTTTACATAGTAATGTACTGTATATAGATTAGAATATACAAAACTGTTTTATACTTACTTTGCAAACCTCTACAGCATCGCCATAACCTCTGACACTGCTACGTAGCTGATAACAGCTAACACCTATTTTCATAAAACCTATTGGACAGTCAACTGTGAAGACGAATCTTAAAATATTAATATACTGTAATGTTTTTGTTTACCTAATTTACTGGGGCGGGTGTGGGCGGAGTCACTTTAATGGTTGTTCATGGTTCATCATTAAGTTCATTCAACATTTTATGCATCAAGAGAAGGAGTTGCTCATTGTATTTTTGTGTGCGCTGCTCTGATTGGCCGGAGTAGTAGGCATAGTCTCAGGTACCGATAACCACATCAGCCTAAAAGTTATAAGGATGCCAATACTACAATCATTCATGATTACCGTGTCATTATCATTCTAGTGTGAACGCCTCCATATGTTTACATTAGTTAAATACTGATAAGTCTTAAAGGTGTCATTATTCTACCGGATGGTTATCGGTGAAGCTTTGACTACAGTTGGAAGAGGTTCACTTTTAAATACAAACCAATACTGAACATAATAAAATAAACTTAGGAAAAACAATAAGTATATGGAACACTCTGCCATCGTGCACTAAAATATAATTTCATTACTAGTCCTTACTAGGTTCATATAATTTGTAACTCTGTATTATATCAGTTTTTAACTTACAATCGTACACCGTAGTAAGTGGTGTCTGTAACGAAGGCTTTGTTGTGAATTCAATATTTCCCTGGTTTTCACCATCATCTGTCTCCACTCGAGTCTGGATCAATTCTGGCGACGTCATTCCCCACCAGTTAAGGGCAGCATGTAGTCGTTTACTAGTGTTGTCATCGAAAACAGCCGTCAGCTCTACAACATTGTCAAGATCGGTGAACGAATTCTGGGTGAACAAAAAATTAGAACCCTTTCCGTTTATATAGATCGTCGGTCCGCGCTCGGCTTTGTTGTAGAAAAACGTATTGGCAACCATTACTAGATTATCGAGGGACTTAATGCCGGTCCAATCTAATGTTCTCCCAAGATTCTCTTTTATTAGATTCTGTTCGATGCTCAATTGAACACCTGAGATTCCAATTACGCTACATCTGTCAGTCGCCGTATTATTTTCTATGATGTTACCTCTAAGAAGAACAGTAACAGTGTCGATTGGTGCTTCGTAGTAAGATGAGACAGTTAGTGTGCATGAACCAATATTTGACACAAAATCATTTTCTGTAATCGCTACAGAAATTTCCTTCGCTTTTATTTCGTTCGACCTTCCGATGTCAACAGAAAGAGCACCGATCTTATTGTATTCAAAAACACACTGGGAAATATTAAGATTTCCGCCGTCCATGACCACGTGAACTGCTCCTGCTTCATTATTATTAACAGATAATATTTCTTCGTTGTTGTTGGAGACCACGTGGCACTGGCTTATCTCAAATGATGTATCTAATCCAGTGTACCAAATGGCGTTGCGTTTTGATTGGGCAATCGTTGACGTAGATATGATGTAACTTAACTCTCCTGAAAAACATGATAAACAAAAATATCAGTAGGCATAATAGGAGTTTTAAAACGTATCTTTAAATATTTATACTTGGTTAGTTTTCATGCTATATTTATACACGCTACAATAGCCGTCAAAATAATACAGTGTACGCATAACTTTTTGATTATTTTCCTAACAAACTTGTATTTTTGTAATAATATTCTGCTGACTTACCCTCTGTTTTTGTCGTTATTTCGAAAATATAATACCGTTTGATTGATCCTGCAGCATATAGCATCTTCAAGGTAACTGAATCACCTGTCGATTCTAGAGCCAACGTATCTTCTGCCGACGATTGCGCAAATTGACCAATGAGCTTTCCATCGTATTCACTGCCATCAAAAATTAGTAAAGTGTCCTTCCCTGGCGTAAAGTCTACCCGCCGGACGGCAATTGCAAGGCTTGCTCCAATTTCTGCAGCACGTATGATCACCGTACATTCAGAATTTTTTTTGGAATGGCGATCAAAATATCCCATTAAGAAATTGCTAACTGTGACATCTTCCATCGAGCAAATATCATGCAAGCCCACGTACTCATTCACATAAGGACCGCCGGTGAACCCCACTATTTGCAAGCCAATATCGTTGCCTAGTATTTCAACACTATCAAACACAACATCAGTGACATCACTACCACGCGTCAATGTTATACCATGTGATGCACTTCCATTTACTAAAACTCTTTCCATACTCAATGGAACCAAAGGGGTTAAGACTTCGATTCCTTTGGAAACGGAGTTAAAAATCCTTACATCCTCAATTATAGGACTTACGTGACTCAGGCTGAGTGCTGCCCCATCATTATCGTGCAGATATCCAGCGTCGTAAATATCTAAATATCGTAGTATCACATTTCTATTTTTGCTAGATGAAATTATTGTAGACCCTGTCTTCTGAACTGTTGACATGGTCATTATTCGGAGACCTCCCCATGCTAGTCCCATTTGAGCTGCGGAGGTGGTGACGCACATTAGACCTACATCGAATTCGTCTTCACATAGAGTAGAGCTTGCAAAACAATCATTAAGTTCAAGTTCATTTCCTCGACATGTGAAAGTTGCATTATTAATTTGTGAAACTGTTTCTTTGAACGCGCTTGTCGACCAATCATAACGCACCGGGGCGGCATATCCCATTTGACCACATGCTACCGTGGCTTCAGACATTGTCCATAGCTCTCTGCACAACCTGGTCCATTTGTTGTTTATAAGCATTTCCAATCGACCTTCTGAAGGTATTTTACCACCAGTAAGGCGCAACGTCGGGCTACTCTTCATCTTACTTCGAATAGATTCCATTACAATAACGCCGTTCTCTTTTCCATCAGCAACAAAATCACCAAGAACCAGAATCCCAATATTTGGGTGAAATTGCAAGACTACACCAGCTTCGACAGTCAGCAGCGAGTTTTGCAACACAGTGATATCACTCTCGATTTCATATGGACTCTGGTTTAGTGTTAATGTAAGTTCACCTTTAATTTTTCCTCCTATAAATCGAGTATTGTCATCTAATCGTGAACTATTAATGGTGGTGTAGTTTCCATATAAGTCATCTGAAGTTAGATACGGAGAATGTTCGATGCTTATTATGTCATTTCGGTCACTTATGTCAACCACCCTATTTTCGATTATGACATCATTTGTGGTGCCCCACCAGTTATATGTTGCATTAATAACGTCAAACGATTCATCGAAAAGCACGGCATTACTGCAAATTTCTATCAAGAAATCACCATTATTCAAGATATTATTCGTCACAGATCCACGAGGTATGTTAATTCTTACCGCGCATGACATTTCTCCTCGGTGTTTTGAATCAGGCTTGTTGCCAGTGATGTTGTTAAAAGAAATTATAAGGCTATCTGGTAAAATCTTCGACCGGTGAATCTGTCTACTGTCAAATATATAGATCAAATTGTGCCCTACGTTGTTTATAAACTGGTTGTTTGATATATGTACAGAGGTGATATCTCCCGGAAGCCTGACAAAATACTCAATTCCAGCATCGTTACTATAAAACGTATTAGTTGAAATATTTAGCACACATTGACCGTCTATTATATCTGTATAAATCGAAGATCCTCTATTGTCATAAAAAGTGTTGTTAACAATGTGAGCCTCTACCGACCCATCCATAATATTGATTAATGTGCCTTCGTTCCGTATAAATGTACAACCGGATAACATTAAGGACTGCCTTGCACTTGCCATTGCCATACTTGGAGCATCAAGTTTAATAACGTGAGAATTCTCCTGGAATGTACAGTCTACAACTGACCAATCACGAGCCCTCCTGATTGACTGAGCCTTAGCGAATTCGCGCAAGTTCATAACAATATAAGTATGACCCGTGAAGTGCGTAGACTCAATGCGTCCGAAGACGTTACTAGAAAATGGTGTTGTACTTGAAGCCTCAAGTGCTCGATCTCTTGCTGAGATAAAGCTATCTTTTACAAAAATATTTCCAGAGTAATCATTCATCTCTATACCACGCATGCTCTGCAGAATTATAACGTCATAAATATACACTGTTTCATTGCAGCCTGTAAGTCTCAATGTGACGTAATTTCCCGTAAAATTGCATCCTTCAATGTTCAGTGTTTTCTGAAATCTTGGCTCATCTCTTATATGTATTGCACTCAACGTGCTGTTTGTAATACGTGAGTTCAACACATTTGTATATATCTCTGTGGTGTCGCTTAACGTGTAACGTCCAGCAACTTCGATTCCAACATCACTAGAGGTCAAATCACTTTCAAACATTGTAAACTCCCCGGCAAAGGAGTCCATCTGGATTCCAGTTCCTACGTCAGATATAGTGACATCATCCAATGAAACTTTACCATGTCCCTGCAAAGTTAATCCATTCGCTACACCGTTTATCCTCATTGATGATTGCGTGACATTCAGTGAATGGTGCCTTTCGAGGTTCTTAACCTCGATTCCACTGCCGGATCCGATTCCAGACAGGTCAAAGTTCATATCTGACATCCAGAATAAAGAGATTAACTGCGAATCCACCACTGAACCAGCTGGAATAAAACACAGATAAAAAAAAGAGATATGAAGTACATTACAAAAAAACAATTCTCGTATTGTCACATATTTATGCTGATAACAGCAGTCATATTCAACAATAATAACTATTAAATTGTTATATATTCAACATATATTTTAAAGTTCTTGAATAATTATAAGACTTGTTAATTGGTCAGACATGTTTAATTACACTCTATTTCATCTATATATATATATATATAGGTCCACGAACTTGTTATGAATTTTTTGGACAATAATGAATAGGCCTACATTATCCACAATCAAACAAAAAAAATCATGTGGTTTCAAACTTATTTAATATAACACCTTGAGTATGGATAAATTTGCTCAAATTAAATTTACCTTTCAATGCCTGAACAATCACAACAAGTTCTCCAACATCTGGTTGGTCATGACCACGTGTATATTCTAAAACAACAGTTGATCCAGTTGAAATGATTGCGTATGTATTATGACGATCTCCAGACACTGACAACAAAACATCGCTGCTTTGAGCATCATCATACACTGAAAATGTTTCTTCTGGCAGTAGTCTTTCATATACCACGAATACCCCAATTACAAAAGAATCATTAGTTGAAATAGTATCAACGCAACGTTGTCTGTTTACTGCCATTTCATTCTCCAATGAGAAATACAAAATGCCTTCATGTTCCAGAGACTTGTTACCATAGCACTGTTGTTGCACCAAGCCGATAGGAAGCTGTTGGTTGAATTCGATCAGTTCTGTACTCGTAAATCCTTCAAACAAAACACCAAGATTACAGTTACTTATTGTTATGTTTGAAATTGAAAATGGCGGGAAGATAGCTTTAAATGCATACATGTCATCTTGACAACCATTGATAGATATATTCATTGTCTGTACCTGTGTATTAAACGGCTCTGAAGTCATAACCATCATGCCAGCTAGTGAGCCTGAAATAAGGATGTTGTTGAGAGTATGTCTATGGTAATCCACCTGAATGGCGGGAACTTTCTCAAATGTGCCATAAAAATGACTACCAGCCTCACGTATTATGACGTGATTCATAATAGAGGATCTAGCATCGGCAAAGAATCGAATTCCTGCCCACTTGATTGGAACACATTTAAGGTAGACTTGATTTCCATTGTTACAAGGCTTCGACACTGAAGCTAATGTTTTACAGGTGATGTCTGTACTAGTGCACGAGGTATCCTTGCCGCTATCCGAACCATCTTGTAGGTACTCAAATTCCATCAAGCCTTGGTAGCCAAGCTTCATGCATATATGTTGAAGAAGCTTGTCATCGTCTGCTACACATAATGGTTGCCAGACTCCATCATGGTTTTCTAATAAGATACCCTCTGAACTGTCTTCTCCAACTGATAGTCTATACTCAGATTTATCAACATTTTCAGATACGTTTTTCATATACAATTCAATCGGATTATTTATGCTACCAGAAAAGTCAATTCTGCCGTGAATATGTATTCCTGTATAAGGATGTAATTCCATCTTTACGCCTGGTTTCAGTGTGAAAATACAAGATTGACAGATGATGATATTTTTATCAACTATATATGCTTCATCTTTAGCCTGAAGTGTAATATTTTCATTCATTATGCCTCCAATTACATAACCATTCCGAATGAAGGTTGAATTGTCTATAATTCGTTGACTTATTATGTCGCTTATATTAGGAGATGCTAAATAAGGAAAGAAGTCCACGCTTGCCAAGTTCATGTGGTCCTGTTTATCAATGATGGCACTTTGAATTTCATTTTCGTTCACTGAACCCCACCAATTTAATTGCGCAGGAATAACTGTTGTTGGTTCACCAACTACAATTATCAATTTTGTGTCAAATAAATCCATAAAGAAGTTGTGACGCAAAAAAATGTACGAAACTTCTGATACCAGTGAACTGGTTTGTTGGTTGCCGGACACCTCTTCAAATGGGGCGTTGTCTACAAATCTGTTTTGTTTGATAGAAATAAGACCTCTATCCTGAACTGATTTTGTATTACTTGAGATTTTTATCACCTGCATGCAGGTTATATTTTGGAATAGGTTGTTTGATATTAAAGCTGTTCCTCCGGGCATAAATTCTTCAAGATGCATGGCAACACTTGTTACAATTGAATTAAATGTATTGTTGGTAATACTTAAGTAGCATTCGGCGCAGTTTGAATAATTACTTGAGATAATGGTTAAACTTGAGGAACTACCTGAAAACAGGTTGTTCGCTATGTTTATTCTGGCTGTATCTGCTGTACCTGAATCTAGAGTAACATGACTGTTATCTTCAAAGATGTTGCGAACTACCAAAAGGTCTACTTCAATAAGTGGCTGCTCCTCAGCTACCACAACTAATCCACCAAGGCCATTTTCAGAAATGTAATTGTCCACTATTTTAACGCTCATTTCTGATGAATCTAATAATATCCCTTGTTTTTGATTGGTTTGTATTGTTGACTCTGTCAGAGAAACTATTATATGACTTTTCCGCATCCCAGCCATTCGTTGACAGGTCAAGCCAATACCGTTGTTGTTGAAGGAGCTATTAGTGATGCTGGTATTCGCAATTGTGTTTATAACTTTCATCCCCGACAGTGAGTTTCTGTCTGCCACAAGCGACTCAATGTGAATACCATCGCCATCTTCTAGCTGCACACCATTGAGCTCGTTTTCAAGTACGAACGAATTTCTGATATGTATCGAAGCCGTGTCTAAGTCAGCGGTCATGCCATCGAACCGATTGTTGTGAATATAGACATCTCCAAGTTCAAACGTGCTCGATATTTCTATATTTACAAAAATGAAAAAAAAAAAGAATGTTAATTGTATATTTGTTTAAGGAACTCAACAGTCAAACTTCGCATCCGGGCAGTGGCGTACCTTAAAGTAAACTGAAGGGAACGGTATGCAGATGTATCTATGTAGGTCTATGAATACAGATCTTACAAATGTATATATTATACAGTTCTTCTAAATTCAAGCGTATTTAGGTCAAGAATCAAAAGAATGTTATAAAGTGAAGGAAAACAAGGAGTTTGTATTCTGAAATAGAGATTATGAATTATAGGCTCATTCTACACAAATGGTGTGTGCCTCACAGGCAAGCGAATCCTGGTTTTCTTAAAATCGCTACACTGTCGCTACAGTGTTTCCAGTGCAATCGTTTTACTACGTAACAGTCCCCGACGCAATCGGAAAGGCTCCCCGATTCGTCGACCGAATAATCGGCATCACCAAAAGCTGTCGGAGATAGCGTGTAGGGATTGTACAGAAACCAAACTTGACATTATTCAAGAAGAGCGAGGTTCACCACTTTGTTAGCCTCAACTTCATACAATATCTTTGCGCCGAGGTGTAAGTTTAGAAACTTGAAAAATGCTATAGCTAAATGTTATAAAGTAAAGGAAAACAAATAAAGAACAAAAAAGAGTCAAACAATGTATTGTAGGTTAAGTTATTCAGGCTCGGCAATTATGATCGAGAAAAAAAAATTCTTTATTGTCAAATACAATGTTATTATTAATTGTCCATAGGAGCAACATTTGTAATTAAAGTCACTGGTAGGAGAAATGATGTTCAATAATTATTTTAACCTATTTCCTTGGAGTTGTGCACAATGCAACATTAATGACATTGAATATTAGCATTTAACGCACAATGTAACACGTGGCCGATGCGTTAGAGCTCGCCTTATGGAAGACGGTGTATAGATTATTTCAAACACTATTATTATTTCAAAATCATTTTTAATTGACTGCCACCTCCAATACACAAAATAAGTCCACAATAGTATAATGAAATACTAAAATACTTGGAGAAACTTTGACCATT